ATTAAGAAACATTTCCTAGACAAGTGAAAAGTTCTACTCTGTTTTTAGAAATAATAAGTCAGAACAGAGTTTTTCCCTTAAAACATTTTCTGCTAATGTGGTAAGTATAAGTATATTTTTTCTAAATATTTAATATTAAAAAAATAGATTTTTTTTCCGGAATATTTTCGAATATTAAAAATAAATTAAAAATTTTTATAATGGAAAACAAGATTATTTTAACCCATTGAAAGAATATTTTTCTTGTTTTAAGGAAAACATAAAGATAATATTTATTATTTGACTAGAAAAATGCTTCTAGAATTAAAGAATTATTTATCTATTTGGACTAAAAATAAAACAAAGACTTCTAAGAAAAGCATTGGTTTTTCAGTGATATACTTTGCAACACAAACTGGATGTTCCAGATATTTCAGACGAAACCACAATTCAAGTTCCTGCATGCGTTTCTTATTTGGACAAATGCAGCTCACAAATCACAAAGACATTTACAGACATCAACTTTCTAACTGCAAGCATTAAATGTCTCAAGCCCCTCTTATCATAACATACAACTGTGCTCTAGCGAATACACCAGACTGATCCAATGATGCTGTACGACATGAAAAAGCTTGAGCAACACGATGCACACACCGTACGGCTCTCAGCGGTACATGAGTCAGCTTGTGCCCAGCCTGAATTACAGTCATGCTGCTAGGCCATGCTGTGCTAAATCACAGTCAAAATGGCCTGGCTTGTTTTTAGCATGGTGTAGCCGACAGGACCACTAGCCTAAATTTTTATCTCTGCCTAAGAGCTGTTTCAGGGCCATGTTCCCCCATTTGAGAGAAAAGACCATTTATCAATGCATCCCTGACCATTACGACCAAACCATATCCTGACAAACACGGAAAATAGGAGGATGTTCATGGAGAGATAGGATCAAAGCATTAGAATTAATTACCTTAGATCCATAAGTGGTACAAAGTCTCTGCATGTAACTATGAACCTGTTTTCAGTGAAATGGGTCACACAAGATGCATTCATTTAGTTTATACTTGATTTTAATATGTGTACATGTGTTTGTGGTCAGGATTTGACGAGTGGCATCCATCTTACATTTACTCCATCACTTTCACATGATCGTTTACATGTACTGTGAATGTACAAACTGTTGACTGTAGCAGTGTCCACTTGTGATCTTACTGACATAAGTGATTGATAAAAAAAAAAAAATTCTTCATATATTAATGGGTGGGTTTTGCCCTAAAAATGGTCTTTAAAATCTGCAGATTTCTGCATGTGCAGATTCCGTGTGGGCCTAGTTATAAGTAACGTGCTGTAAGTGCAATGTGTCATGTCAGTAATCACTTTACTCTAGTAAGTACAACATTTTAATTCACGGCCGTTATGAGGGTAGTATGAATGGAATTTGGCCACACTACATCTGTCATGTTGTCCTAATCATATGACCTATTTGCATTGCTTTTCTTCCATTAATAAATTGTAACATGTGGCCTTATAAGATAGTAAAGTCTCCACTGGATTTGCACTTCAGAATCTTGCTGGATGTAGAAAGTCATCCGGGTACTTGACTACTGTTTTTCTAACACTAAAGGGACACTACACTGCTTATGTACTGTTTTCTCATACTATACACTAGGGAAGCGTTCGATTTCAGATGCAACATCAGTCTTTACAATCAAATTAATCTTCTAGATCCTGAAAGACAACCATATATATATATATATAAACTGCTTGTTTAGTCAAAGATGAAGGTTAAAAATCCATTACAATTTTGAAGAGTGAAGGCATGGTCACTAAACATATCACTCCGTTGACTGCCATGCATACGTTTTAAAAAGGTAGAAAGTTATCTTGCTCAGTGAACTCTGACCGGTGAATCTGTACTAAGTGAAGCCACATGTCCAGCAGAAGAATGAAAAAATACTTCAGTGGACTTTCATGAACTTTCTGTAATTCAGTGTTACAGAAATGTGGTGTTGACCGCATAACTTTACACACTGAATGTATTTTATTTAGTGCTGGGCAAAGATTAATCATGATTAATCACATTCAAAATAAAAGTATGTTTTGGCATAAAATGTGTTCCCATCAGATCATTTACTATAGCCTTCAGAATTTACTCATTTAGGTGTCTGAATACATTGTAGGTGTTTTTGAAGCCTGTGGCTTTAAATGCAAATGAGCTGGTTCTCCCTGCCCACCCTTCCCACATGCGTGTCTGCTTCTCACCATGCGTTATGTCAGATAAAGATCTCATTAGTCAAATAAACAGCTCATAAGTCAAAAATACTAAGTAAGTTTATTTCATGTATTTGTGGTGGAGTTTATTCAAGCCTTTCTGAAATGATGAGTCTCATGCCTTATTCACACTAGCAGCGACTCTGTAGCTGCCTGTTGCTCTGGGTGGCGATTAAAACAATTGTGGGTGTTCCCACCTTGAGATTGCTTATAACGTTTATGGTAATATTCACAGAGAGCAAATGAGTTTGCGTGCCACTGAAAGTAAACGTTGTTCAGAAAATACACGAAATATAAACGGAATAAGTACATAAAACGCTTAACTACAAAGATGATCAAGAAAAAATGTGTTCTCTGTCATTGCGGCTATTTATCTTCAGGCAAACGCAGGTCTGTGTAGGTCTACAGCATGGAGAATACAACATGCTTCTGCCGAAGCAGAGAGAGGATCACGTGAGCTTCTCTGGTGCTCCTATTGGCTGTCAATTAAGCAAGTCGCTCTTCATTTGCATAAAGTTGAGCTTGACACACCCACTTTGTCACTAACGGTCGCTGTCGCTCATGTAGATGGAGGTCGCTTGCTCTTTATTGAAATGAATGGTCGCTTGTCGCAGACATCCCAAGTAAGGAAAAATGATTTCCAGTGAAGACAGGGATGATTTAAGGGAGATTGAGGGGTGGAGCGCGACATATCTGAAGAGCGGGGCAGGGGTGCGCAACGTATCTGAAGAGCAGGGAGGGATGCCGATGGAAAGAAGTGTGCAAAGAACTTGCAAAGAAATTTCCGGGAGATTATCATTCGTTTGCAGGCATCCAGGAGTCTTTATGCATTTGGGGGTGACTCCCAAAACTTCCTGGACACTTAGGATGTCTGTTGTCACTTGTCGCTGCAAGTCACTCATAGAAGCAGTACACACACATACATATATATATATGTGTGTGTTTACTAACACCACGCGGCCGCAGTGATTATAGCGGTTAAGAACTACATATCGATTTTACTGTCTTTATTACAAACATGCTCTGTATTAAAAACTTTTAAACTTAATACAAAAATTAAAGAGTTGGAACAAATATTTTATCCCAGTTTATTTGCAAACAAATGTTCTGTGGACATGTCTATACATGTATTATAGAAACGTATGCTGTCAATCAATTCGGTGCACATGGAAACCGCACTCCTATGTCACGTTGAGCCTCAAAATCACTGGGATCTGGGTCCTATTTTAACATCAGGAAATTTTAAAAATGAGACTTGTTGGGTTTCTATTACTCCAACATGACAGTGGACACTCAAACAGATAGTTCTGTCCAAACAGCTTACAGAAGCTGATTTTCATCATAGGTGCCCTTTAAATGGTGGCAAAACTAATTTTTAATTAGATTAATTATTTTTCCCTGAGCTATTTTTTTAATGACTTTTATTTTTTTTTGTTTAAAGATGAAGTAGAGCATAATGTCATATGATAATCGCTGCAGAATCCAATGAAACTTTGAGTGCCCAAAGTGCAATGCGATTTCCTCAGAACTTTCTAGTATCATCCTAAAAAATGAATATAAATGTACAAGAAATAGCTGCTTAAGGGCATCCTGCTATTAACTTTCTCACAAAACAAACACATACAAAAATACCTGCTGAGTGCTGCTGACACACATACAGTTCAAGTCAGTATTATTAGCCCACTTTAATTTTTTTTTCTTTGGTAAATATTTCCCAAATGATGTTTAACAGAGCAAGGAAATGATCACAGTATGTCTGATTTTTTTTTTCTTCTGGAAAAAGTCTTATTTGTTTTACTTTAAGCTGTATAGAAGTGACTTGAAAAAAAATCTAGTCAAATATTATTTACTGTCATCATGGCAAAGATAAAATAAACCAGTCATTAGAAATGAGTAATTAAAACTATTATGTTTAGAATTGTGTTGAAAAAATATTCTCCGCTAAACAAAAATTGCGGAAAAAATAAACAGGAGGGCTAATAATTTATCCAATGATGAACCAATAATGTAATATTGGACTGTAAATGTAAATAACAGGAAATCATACAAATCTTTCTTAATGAAAAGCTAACTTATTACAGGTGATTGTTTTAGATGTACTTCAACTTTTAATGTTAGGTGTATAAGCAACTAAATGGCCTACAGATATTAATCGTAGTTGAATTACAGTGTATCTCTTGACCTGCAGAATGTCAACACATCCTTCAGTTCATGCATCACAGCAGTGTCATTGACCTCATTCAGATACAAGTTGCCCCCCTTACAGGATATACACTGATATATTAAGCCAATCCACGAACACTAAATATAAATCCACAGCATGTCAAGAGTAGTTTTACCACGTTATTAAGTCATGTCATTCTGCTGCCAGGCTGCAGTCGCTCCATCACAGCAAAGCTAAGTCGCAGCTAGCTACGTCCCTGCATAACATACACCAGTTAAACAATAAATCGCATTAAACTAATAGACTTTACATCCCAAACATTCATGGTGAGCTCTACTGCGTGGCTGTGAGTGACTCTTGTGTCGGCCTGATCCATCTTGAAGCCAGAACTGCTGCAGATGTGTATGTGTGTGTGTGTATGTATGTGTGTCAAACTCCCGGCAAACTGGCACTCCACGACAACACGAGCACACAAACACGCGCTTTCTGCTCGCTCCTCCGTAAAAACACGACAGCATGTCTTTGTAGTGGCTAAAAGAAACACACGACTGTTTGAGGTGTATACATTTTCGCTAGCTCGCTGCGTGCTTACCTTCTCTTCTTCTCCTCGCGTTCTCCAGTTCACTCCCATACATACACACACACGCCAGCAAACAGAGCCTCTGAACCGCGGAAGTGTCGGCGTTTATCGCTTCCACGTTCAACACGACGGACAGGTCAAGTTCAGCTCTCTTTTAGGAGGCTTGACAGTAAAATCCAGAGTGTGGCATGACTGACCGTTGGGCGGAGGTTGGTGGGACAGTATTTTTTCGACGTCTCTCTCTCTTTCTCTCGCTCGCTCTCGCGCACTGGGTAGGATGACGTAATGGCGCACTCGTCAGGTCGAGTTGTAACTTTTGATGCAGATTGAAAAGTTGCAGGAAGGATTGAAGCTCACTGTCAAATTGAGGTTGTGGCTAATAGACGAGAGACTTGTTGTCTATAAACATCGTTTTTAACTAGGCCAGGCTTCACAAATATAAGGCCTCCGCGCTGTCATAGTTTTTCTGTTAAACACAATAGTTTGTTAAAATGTAAATCCCATAGACGGTAAATCCAAACAAATTTCTTCATCATATTCGCTAATAATTGTTTGACACTGAAAACACGCCCTACCCAATATATATATATATATATATATAAATATATATATATATATATATATATATATATATATATATATATATATATATATATATATATATATATATATATATATAAATATAGGGGTCTGTTCTTTGGTAAAAGAGGAAGGATAGCTTAATAGGGTGAGTGTGTGGGGATACTTTCTGTTGTTCATTTTGTTGTACCTTGCCTGGTGCACTCCATGAATACCAATTAGCACAATGCAACTAAAATCATGTCAGCAAACTAATCTTAAGATATCAAACCAACCTGCCTCAAAAACACAAAACCTTTTTTTTTATTATTATTATTTTGATATAAAAATAAGGAAATTAGATTCTATCTGATGTCTCAAAACAAATTATTGTCTTCTTACTAAGTTTTATTTCGTTTTATTATTCGGTCGGCCCTTTAGAACAAGTCCTCCATTTAAACTTGTCCATATGATAACGACTTTTTTTGTCACCCTCTTACACTTATACACTACGGATTTAGCCTACCTTCCTCTGTCAAGCATCTCTTGGGAAATATTTCAAAAGAAAAACATGCACCATATATATATATATACACACAAACACATACACACACACACACACACACACACACAAATATCAGATGGTAAATCAGCCTTTCTTTCATGCACCACAGTGCAATTTGCATCAAAGATGTCATGGGATTCATTCATTCATTCATTCGTTTTCTTGTTGGCTTAGTCCCTTTATTAATCCAGGGAATGAACCACTAACTTATCCAGAAGGTTTTTACGCAGCGGATGCCCTTCCAGCCACAACCCATCTCTGGGAAACATCCTCACACACACTCATACACTACAGACAATTTAGCCTACCCAATTCACCTGTACCACATGTCTTTGGACTGTTGGGGGAAACCGGAGCAAACCCACGCGAAGGCAGGGAGAACATGCAAACTCCACACAGAAACTCCAACTGAGCCGAGGTTCAAACCAGCGACCTTCTTGCTGTGAGGCGACAGCACTACCTACTGCGCCACTGCCTCGCCAAGTCATGGGATTATCTGAGTAAATTAATTTGTGATAGCACTCTCTGAGGTTGATATTGAGTCAGGTGAACCCACTGATCTGAATATTTGATCATGGAAGCGTTAAAGCTTCATAAATGAGGCAATAGGTGGAGGGTCCATTCATTCATCTCACACCCTAATTATCTCATCAGAGGAGCAGTTCTGACTCAATCCCACTGGAGAAACAACAACATATTATAGAATGTGATCAGGACAGAGGAGAAACACAGGGCTTCCCTGGGCCTCTGGTTTCTCCAGTCTTCACCAGAGCCATGCATATAGGGCCAGACAGAATCTGCAGACATTTTTTGCTTTTTCTGCTGATTTTAGTAAAAGTCTGCGGATTTCTGCGGAATTATTTTTAGAGTATCATAACTAAAACCTTAATATGTGATATAAAAAATTATATCTTTTAAACTTTTATTTAATGTTTAAAATGCAAATCCAATTAGATTCACTTTACTTGGTAAAAAAAAGCAAATCTCTCATATAATATATCCACTCAAAAACAGAAAATATAACTGTATAAACTGCATTATACATAAATCAGATGAACATTTTTATATTAGTCAATAATATTACTGTAATTAATTTTAAAACTGAATAAATATAAATTTACACACATTTACTCAGGTAAATAAACAGAATTAATGATGGTCTAAAAATCTGCAGAGAATCTGCGGAGTTCTGCGCACACAGATTCCGTGTGGGCCTATTCGGCCTATATAGGTGAATTGAAAAAACGAAATTGGCTGTAGTGTATGAATGTATGTATAAATGAAAAAGTGTATGGGTGTTTCACAGCACTGGGGGGTTCCCAAGTTAGTGAACTCTCAGAGCTAGGTTGTGTGAAGAAGGGCATGTACTGGTAAAACATATGCTAGAGTAATTGGCATTTCATTCCACTATTGTGATCCCTGATAAAGCAGGGAATTAGCAGAATGAGAGTGAGTGTACAGATTTAAAAAACAAAATGATGGGAAACTGAAAAAAAAAAACAATCTAACACAATGGGTTCTACAGGACAAATTTTCTCAATAGAGCTGTTAAAGCCGTATTTTTAAAGAGTAATTCTATGGTTTAGCTCTAGAAAAGCAACAACGAGGTGCCTTAACAGTTACAGATTTGACAATCGAAAAGGCGGGAAATGAAGAACCCCAGAAATGAACACAAGAGTACCATTTCAGCATAAGTGTTCATGATGATTCTAAATAGAACTTTTATTGAGTGTAAAGAACACCTAAAATATATATTTTTAGTGGTTTATTGTAAAAATCAGATGTCATTTAACAGTTACAGAATTGAAAACAAAAGGTGAGAAATAGATAACCCTAACACAACGAACCATTTCAGCACAAATAAGTTCTCCACAATGATATGATTATAAACAGAAGTGTAAATAACATTTAAACAACCATAATAGTAGTATAGTGTATTGCTGAACTTTTGACCCGTAACAGATTTAAAAGACAAATAAATAAATTAAGAATCATGAATTAACAAAGGGGCTGCAAAATATATCGCAAAATGATTGTTATCACAATAATTATAATAATATGCAATATAAACATCACAGACATGTGTGATAAGTTACATCTATTTTATGCATTGGTTGTTTGTTTGACCAATCAGATTGGGCATTACTAGCTCTACCTTCCCAGTAGTTGATGTTTTGCTATTTGTGGAGTGGCTCAAAGCTGAACCCAAAGCTGAAAACAAACACTGATGGCGGAAGAGAGAAAGGAAAATGACAACAGCCAATCAGATTCAGAATATCTGCTGAGGTTTTCACTTATTCTAAATGCCTATTTGTTTGCACCCTGAAAGATTTTTTTGGTCTGATTAAGCATTAATAAGATCTGAATAAATTATTTTAAAACATAGCTGATAAAAATAGCATTTATCAAGGGAAATGTTATATCTATATATCATTAGCGCGAAAGTCACCAACCATTTTGTATATTTTTCCAGTATCGTGCAGCCCTATTTCCCAAAATGGTCCTTCGTTATGACTCTGAATAGATCTGTTCCCAATAAAGAACCTTAAAAAACACTTTTTCTGAGTGAATGACATCACTGTTTGTGCTGCAGATGTTGACCTCAACTATGATCTGGACTGAGAATCGTGGCTTTACCCTGAACACTTGAAAAGAGGGCCCGCTCCTAGACTGCCAAATGACTTTTCAATGCTCAGTGACCTTCCGAGTGCTGATAATGAACACACTGTTGGATTGGATTTGTAAGTGGCTCTCTGTATGAAGTGATAAGGGAGTTTGAGGAGCTTAACCACCATCGCCAGTCATGTGGTTTCCCTCCGGTAGCTACAATCCTTTTAGCGGACCGAACTCTTCCAAGTACTCTTGAATTATAATTGAATCCAGGAGAACTAGGAGAAATAGTCACGTATGAGCATAATATAGATTAATCCATGTAATGCATTAGTCATTGTCAGGAAATTGAGAGTGTGACATGCAGATTGTAACTTCATTCATTTTCTTTTTGAATTAGTCCCTTTATTAATCTGGGGTCACCACTGCAGAATGAACCGCCAACTTATCCAGCATATGTCTTAAGCTTCTTGCTGTGATGTGACAGTGCTACACACTGCACCACCATGCTGCCCATCAGATTGTAACTTTTTAAGGTTAATTATTTTGTGTGTCGATTTTTTGTAGGCTGTAGTTAACAATTCTGTCAAAAATTTTTTTTTTACTAATACAGTGCCATTCAAGTGTATATAGAGCCGGTAACTTTGCTGTTTTCTGAACCTGACCTGCACTGATTAAAGATGAATCATTGGATTTACTTAATTATTTTAAGGTAACTAGTTGCAAACAATTTATATGGACTGAGTATAAACATACAAATTAAGTTCGACATTACTAATTTGTTTGTTTAACTAAAGCCATATCCCATATCATTTTTAAACCCATATTTTTTTTAGAAAATTCAATGAATCTTTTTTTTTTCAGTGTGGGTTGCATTTATTCAGTCAAAAATGTTAGGGTCAGTAAAAATAAAGATTCCAAAAAGAGGGTTTTTCGAAAACCATTTTTGGTTCTCCAAAGATCAGTTCTTAAAAAAATTTTTTTCTTAGTGCAAATGACATTCTAACAATCTATACACTGTCAAAAATGCTGAGTTCCACACAATTCCTTCATGTTGTCCCAACATAAAATAATTAAAATAATTTTGTTTAATTAAAATCGTTTTTACAAATTAAAGAGGATTAAACTTAAAATAATTAGGTTGTCCCAAAAACAATGTAAGAATCGTGTTGTTTCAACTTATTTTAAAAAAGTAGATTGAACAAGCAGTCAAAATAATTTTTTAAATGTAAAGGGGCTTTTTCTAGTTATAGACACTTTTTTTGCAGTTCAGTGAGTTCATTGATGTCAAATGTTCTTTTACATCAATGCCAATAAAGAACCTTTAATTGTAGGAAAACCTCATATAAAAAAACCTTATGAGTAAAGCTCTTTACTGTTATGAGTAAAATAACATTGAGGACCGGGACGTTGCCTGGTATGGCGCTGCTGGGGCCCCACCATACAGTCAGGCCTGGGGATGAGGCTTGTATGTGAGCACCAGGGGCCTCATGTATCAACGCTGCGTACGCACAAAAACTTTGCGTACGCCAGGTTTCATGCTCAGAATCGCTCATGT